AGTTAGAAGCAGTAGTTAGTTAGAAGCAGTAGTTAGTTAGAAGCAGTCATTTAAGAACATATTCATCAGAAACCAGGACAGTGATTGAGATAATAAAGTTACAATAAAATTACAATTTGCAGCATTAATGTGCTATTCCTAAATTACAGGTAGTGAAGTATGTTTAGATTTCTTTATTTATTCTGTTCTTTGAGGATCTGAACTATATAAAGTATAGGGCTGCAGCAGTACCTTTCATCTTGCATCTTATGGGTTAGATTTAGTCATATGTGGGATAATGCATCATAAATTGAGCCCAGCTATTCCTGGAGATGTACCAAATGTTATTTTAAGGTATGTCCAGTAGCCCAAATTACCTGACTGTAAAACCAAGGTTAATAGAAAGCATGGGCCAGATTTCTGTACCAAACAAGAATTATTATTAAACAAATATAAACTATTGGCATATAACACTATGAAATAAAATTGTAATCCCCTTATAAACTCCACTTACACGCACAGACAAATAGGAAAAAAATAGGTTATTGATGGAGATAGCAAAAAAACTGCAAAGTCAATTCAGTGGGCTTCGATTCTGATACTGCAATGATACTCCTCTGGTTTATCAAGAATGCCAGTTGATTTAAGTGGTGGTTAAGACAAAGTTTGCTGTACTTGAAAATTTTGAGATTTTCATCTGTCAGGATATAGCTGCTGACTTTTGTTAAGATACATGTGCTGTTGCCTGTTGAGATCTGCTTGCATGTCTTTTAAGAGCATTTAACTGCATACAGTTCTTGCCATCTCATTCACTGAGAGCATTTAGAATCTTCTGAACTCCTGACTAACCACAAGGATACAATCAACTCTGAAACAGCTTTTAAAAATTCTAATGTAATAATGGTAATGGTTGTCCCTAGCTGTAGGTTATGGCACTTCAAGTGCGCGTAAATTTGTCTTTTAAAATGCACTTAGTTTCTATTTCTCCCTCTGTTTCTGATGTTGAGTTACAGACCTCTACCACCCTTTGGGAAACAACGGTCTTCAACTCCTGTCTTCTCTTCTAGCAGTGACTTTAAATCTAAGCCCCTGGTTATTGATTTCTCTGCTAAGGTTTTAGGTTCTACCAATGCACTACGTCTAGGTCCTTTATGATTTTACATGCCTCCATTAAAGCTCCCTTTGGCTGCTTCCATGACAAAGGGAATAACCCTCAGCTTATATGATATTTTGTCTTTGCCAAAATTCTCTATCGTATAAGAACATAAAGAACAAGAGTACATAATACAGCCCCTCAAGCACACCCCTATAATTAATATGTTGGCTGATTATCTAACGCCGCTCCATTTTCTGAGCCATACCCCTTGATTCCTCTGAATGATCAAAACGCTTTACCCAAGCCTTCAAATATCTTTCACGCAATGGAGCATCCGCAACTCTGGGGAAAAGAATTCCAAAGATTCACATGCCTTTTTCAGTGAAGAGATTTCTCCAAGTCTCAGTCCACAATAATTAACATTCATAAACTATGCCGCCCGCCGCCACCCCCCCCCACACCATGTCCTAGACCCCATAGCCAAGGAAAGC